TATTTGGCATAGATTACAGATATACTAACTTCCTAGTTGGTGCTTTTCCCTTAATTACATTTAATCAGTTTTCAGTCCCCTTGCTCCAACTGGATCAAATTGTGAATATTCTACACCCAGGCTTTCTCCATATTGTTTCCTTCAAAAGTATTTAAAATATATTCACTTGTAATCAGTATATAATGTAAGAGATTTTATCTTACCATTTTATAAATATTGACAGTAGAATAGATGTCTAACACGACTATTGCTAATGAATGAAGTTTTTGTTGTAAGATACCTGGAAGTACAGAAACTTCTCGCATGCCTAGAAATAGTACCAACATCACTAACGACAGTGCCGATAAGGATGACGGCTCTCCCCTGCTGAGTGCCAAGCACTGTGCTATGCATTTTGCATGCATTACCCCACTTAATCTTCATAATAACTTCACAAAAGAGGTGCTATTCCTATGCCCATTTATAGATCAGGCAACCATAGCTTAAAGAAGAAAAGTATCTTGCCTAATACCACACAACTAATAAAGTTGGAACCTGTACTCAAGTCTCTCTAACTCCTGATCCTGTGCTGAAGTATCATAACATCAAGAATTTTTAGGCCTAGAATATACCTTAGTGACCACCTACTCCAATCTTATATTTTATTTTGTATTTGATCGATTTTGACTCAAAGTGACCCATAAATTATAGCTCCGTTAAAAGAAAATTTGCTTATAAAAATGAGGCTTGAGTCCCTGTGAGAACAATGTTCTCCCTGCAAACAAAGTACCTTCCCAAGAGCAGCACACCTAAGGAAGCTGCCCCGAGATGCTACAAGGAGAGAATATCCTCACAGCCCTGGAAGAGCCACCAATCTAGGGCCTGGCACTAAATCATTCTATATGTTCACACGGTAGGTGAAGGGAGATGAATGAAGACAAAGACATGTGAGATTAAGCTGTTTGCTGTGTTTAGAATAAATCAGACAGATTTAAGCTATTCACCCTACTGAAGTCCAAGAGAGATGGGATTTGCTTGAGCCCACAGCTAGCCAGTGGCAAAGAACAGATTAGGAGCCAGTTCTCCTAACTTCTAGAAGACTTTCTGCCAAATCGAGCTGACTTTAAATTATATGTGAGGGGCGCAGCGGCTCACGCCTGTAACCCTAGCACTCCGGGAGGCCGAAGCAGGAGGATCGCTTGAGGTCAGGGGTTCGAGACCAGCCTGAGGAAAACCGAGACACTGTCTTATTAAAAATAGAAAAATTAGCCAAGTGTGGTGGCACATGCCTGTAGTTCCAGCTACTCCGGAGGCTGAGGCCAGAGGATCACTTAAGCCCAGGAGTTTGAGGTTGCCGTGAGCTAGGCTGATGCCACGACACTCTAGCCCTGGCAACGAGAGCAAGAATCTGTTTCCAAAAAAAAAAAAAAATTATATGTGAGGTATGCCCCTAATCCTCTACTTTCTTAACTATCAGTAAGACACTAAGAGACCACGGACAAGATTTTCTTGTGGGCAATCGGCTGAGCTGGGCTGACATACAGCTCCTCGAAGTCATCTTAATGGCTGAAGAGTGCAAACCCAGTGTCCTTGCAGGCTTCCCTGTGCTACAGGTTAACGCTATCCAAAACCTCTTAGGAACTGCAGGGAGAATGAATGTGTATCATTCACTTATTCTTTCATTCAGTCATTCATCATCATTTAAGAACCTACTAACTTCTTTATGCCAAGATCTGTGCTAGAAATACAAAGGGAATCTCAAGGAACATACCTAGTGGGGGAAACAAGGACATAGCAAGGTAACTTCAATATCAGGTGGTAAATTAAAACATAAAATGATATGAGAAAGCAGATGAGCGCCTCCTGGCACAGCATGGGGATCTGAGACAGGCTTCTTGCAGGACTTGGGTCAACAAAGGCTTTGCTTGGAATGTAGTAGAACCTCAATAAAAGTTGCTTCCTTCCTCTAGATAAAACAGGGGAGAAACATTTAAGATAATATCATTCTAACATAGCCATTATTTAACAATAACCATAACCATTGACAAAGCGTGTCATATGCCACGCATTGTACCAAGCACCAAATGCACATTACTTCATTTATTTTAATCCATCCTCAAAGGAGATGGGAATCAGATTGAGAGAGGCTAAGTAACTTTTGCAAGGTCACATTATTAGTAGGTGACAGGACCAGGACTCAAACCTTAGTCTGTTTGATTCCTCAGCCTGAGTTTTAAACCCCTTTTCTAGGTTGGTAGATTCTTTTATAATCTTTTAAAAATATGCTTATTTAAAATATTTGCAATCTGAGTTATAACAATTATGCACCTTCAATTTTTCACTTCATATTATTAATACACTATAAATGTTTTGGTATTGTTTAGTTCACCTCATTTTTCAGAATGTAGTCCATTATATATATTTGTGAAATTTTTCATAATTATGTATATTCCATTATTCATGCTCAGAATAACCTTATTTTAAATAATGAAGATCATAAACAACTCAAGTGTCCAGTAGCTAAGAAATGTCTACATACATGAGGATACATCCATTAAACAGAATTTTATGCAGTCACATAAAGTTAGGTTTTCAAAGATTATAAGACAAAGCCTGGGCGTGGTGGCTCACGCCTGTAATCCTAGCACTATGGGAGGCCGAGGTGGGCGGATCGTTTGAGCTCAGGAGTTCGAGACCATCCTGAGCAAGAGTGAGACCCTGTCTCTACTAAAAATAGAAAGAAATTAATTAGACAACTAAAAATATATACAAAAAATTAGCCGGGCATGGTGGCGCATGCCTGTAGTCCCAGCTACTTGGAAGGCCAAGGCAGTAGAATTGCTTGAGCCCAGGAGTTTGAGGTTGCTGTGAGCTAGGCTTACGCCACGGCACTCACTCTAGCCAGGGCAACAGAGTGAGATTCTGTCTCAAAAAACAAACAAACAAACAAAAAAAACCCAACAAAACAAAAAAACTACATACATCACTATCACTCACTTCCACCACCTTCTGTGAAAAGTCCAGGAAACAGCATAGCTTCAAACTAGTTTCTCAAACTTTCAGTCCTTGGAGTATTTTACAGATACAGTATATATTCTATGATCAACTTCACATTTAGGTTCTACTCCATAGTTTGATTATAAGCTGTTATCAATCCAAACCTGAAGGCTCTTCTCAGTCATCTTTGGCAGCTGGCAAGTAAGTGGAGCATTGCAACCACGACAGCCTTTTCCAGCCTTGCCTGTGGTCACAAACCCCTTCGGCATCATTAGGATTTGTGGGGACTTTTTTAAAGCATATCTAAGAATTCTGTCTGGGTTTCCTATTTGGTTCAACTAGTAGAGTTTTTTTCTTCCCTTAATTACTTATCACTGAAAGTTTAACAACTTCCTTGAAAGTCAGCTGGGAAGAGTAACCAACCTAACACAACCATGTCCACTTTGCTATTAGGTGAGGGCTCAACACAGAATTTCATTTAAAGAAAGAGTTTGAAATCTGATGCCACAGCACAGAGCCAACAGGATAGAAATGAATTTTTAGAGCTCTAAGGGGTCTTGTCAATCATTTAGTGCAACTCCTCCTTGACTAGGGTTTCCTGATGTTCAGTCTGGGCCCTAAAAGTGCCTTGGACATTTTGAGACTAAATCATTTTTGTTTCAGAATTATTTCTCTTTCAGAGCAAGAGAGAGAATTTCTGCTCCTGAGCAAGTATGGTGTGTTGGCTTAAACAAATCTCCCTCCCAATCCTTTTCATTAATAATTAAACATTTAAATATCAAAGATGATTTGAAATATATACAGAAGACACTAAAATCAAAGAAACAGGTTTAAAACAAAATGCCTTTTATTTGAATACTGAATACATTCTAGGATACAGAGTGTGCTGAGAATGAAATTTTTTAAAGAAAAATATAACGCTGGCAGCAACACAATTAAAATGGAAAAATATAATTTCTAATAATTTCTAATATAACACACATAGCAAATAGATACATTAGCATTTTGTGAAGTCCACTTAAGGAATTCCTTTATTTGATAAATTGTAGGTTAATTTATACTGAGACATGAGTATTTGGAATTGTCAAAAATGCCACATATATTAAAATAGACCCAGCAAATGAAAGAGCACATCATGATTAGACATCTTTAATGAAAATAATGCTTGACAATTAGAAAACAGTTAAAATTTTTGTTTTTTTAAAAAAAAAAAACCACTTCAAACTTGTGTTTATATTAGAAGTGACAGTGTTACTTATGTTTCTAACAGAAAATAAGACAATTAACATTCCATATTGAAATTTACCTTTTAAATACAAAGAATATGCTCTGTCTATTACAGTAGGATGACACGAACTTTGCTTTCAGTTCCTCTGGATCTCAGAGCAGCAATAAGACAAGTCGCAGGATCATCATGAGGCTGGATTAAAATAAAAGAAAGGCAAAGGCAGCTCACTCTTACCTGGCCCGAGACAGAAGGGGTCACTTGTCTGCCTAACCTGCAGGGTTACTTGGCCTTGGCTCTTCCAGGGCTCTCTCCTAGCCCTACCCCTTGGAGCAGGCGACCTCATCATCCCTCACTTAGCACACAGGACTGAATTAGCCACCTAAATGTGTTCACTAAATGAATGAGAAAAGTCAGAACTTGCTGCTCTGAAAACCTGGGACAAGAGTTTATAAGAGAAATGTGTGGAAAGAAACATACACCTTCAAAATCCAGTAAAGTACAGCAACTTGGAAAATGATCCAGGAGCAATTTAGGGGAGCTATTAGTACAATCTCAGCTACTTTCCATTGACTGGGGTTTTGTCTTCCTGATCTGTAAACCCTACTTCTGATTCTTCCCACCATCAACTATCATTTTTATAACAAGGCTATAGGCTGGGCACAGTGCCTCCCCACCTATAATCCCAGCACTTTGGTAGGCCAAGGTGGGAGAATCACTTGCACCCAGAAGTTCAAGACCAGCCTGGGCAACATTGTGAGTTCCCAGTCTCTATAGGAAACAAACAAACAAACAAACAAAATGAGCTGGGCATGGTGGTGTACACGTGTAGTCCCAGCTACTCAGGAGGCTGAGGTGGGAGGATTGCTTAAGTCTGGGAATTGGAGGCTGCAGTAAGCTATGAGAGCACCACTGCACCCCTGCCTAGTGACAGAGTGAGACCCAGTCTTTCTCAATCAATCAATCAATCAAAAAAAGAACAGGGCTGGAAAGCAGCCCTTTGTAATCACACCCCCACTCCCAAAACACAATACATAGTTACACTAGAAAATTCTACAGAAAAGCAGAAAGAAGAACATTAAAATTATTCATTATGCTACCACCCAAGGGAAAAACACTAACAGTTTCAGATATTTCCTTTCTATCTTGGTTTTCTATATGTAAATATTTTAGAAAACTGGGATCACACTATCCTTGGTTGGTTCTGATCCTGTTCCTACACCTCATGATGTCACTAAGATTTTCCAATGCCACTAAATAGTTTTTGAAAACATGACATGTAATGCCTGCTCAATATGCCATTATAGGACAAAACATTTATTGAAACATTTCCTTACTGGTGAACTTTTGAGTTGTTCCTAATTTTTCAGTTCATCATGCTTTCCATTAGAAATAAAGCTTCAATGAACATGTCTTATGTGTATCTCATTTCTTTGAAATAAATTCCAAAAAGTGAAAATGTGTATCAAAGGAAGTAAGCATGTTTATGGCTTTCAACATATAAAAGGATCTTCCAGGAGGAATTAAAAATGTTATCTCTAAATTTTTATTTGGTAATATGCTTAATCTCAAGGATAGAGATCAAATTAAGAGAAATTTTAGGCTCCTTATTTATCTTTCAAAAAATATGAAATTTCTCTTCCTTAAAAATTCAAAATAACTGCATCAGATTGTCACTCTGTCCAACTGTCTAAAAGAGACTATTAGATTTAAATGAATACATTTAATGTTTCAGGTGGGTAAATCTTCAGGAAAAATGAGGCTGAATTTAGCTCTTTATTCTGAAAAAGGCACATGATCAGACACCATAGCAGTATTAAGTGTATCTGATGCAAATGCTCATGTGCACATTAATACCAAAGACCAACTGAATCCAAGATATTTTAAGGTTTTTATAGTCTTGCTTACTGTAATACAAACTACTTTGACCTTTCTTATTAAAATTGATTTTTGCCAATAATTCAGCACTTCAAAATGACAGCAAAGTATAGATCAAAATAGTTTTTCTTACCTTAAACCTGCAACCAGCCCAGCAGGCATTATTTTCTTGGACCTCTTAAATCTCACACCCATTATGGTGGCCAGGAAGAAAGCTGTAACTGAAACCAAACCAATTCATGAACCAAAGTTTCAAACATGTTATCAATGCTTATGAAAAACAAACAAACAAACAGGTATCATTTAAAGTTTTCTAACAACTATTATATATAGTTGCCATTTTGAGTTGCCATTTTCTTGAAAAGATAAAGTGCTCTATTAAAATACTTTATAAAGTAGCTCATCAAAATGTTTCTGAGCAAACAAACATATTAAAATCCATTCTTGAAATATCTTCAAAAGAGAGTCTTTTGCTAACCTAAATTTCTATTCAAAGAACACTCCTTGAAGGTTAGGACCACATTTTACTCAACTTTCCTCAGAAACACTAGGCAGTAGTATACTAGGACCCACGGGAGACACTCAATAAATATTTAGATAACTGAATATAAAGAAAATAACCAGTATTTCTTTTAAAAGTAAGATCTCATTAATAAAATAACACTAGGAGGAAGGCTGACTGGTTTTTCTTTGTAGCATTCCATTTTGGAGACTTTAATGTCTGGAGAGTAAGTAACAGGCTAAGTAATAATATCATATTCAGAAGCTCACATCCAGCCTTGTAGGAGCTGTATCAATACGAAGGGGGAGGTGGTTTTATCTACAAGATTAGGGCATCGATGTCCCAATTTAAGAACAGCTTTCAAAGAAAAATGTTCACTGATACAAAAAATATAATGATTGATAATAAACATGTGAACTACTTAAATGTATGAGAATGACAAGCCCCATGTAACTGTATCTTGCTGATATAGTTTTATCTTTTGATACAATCTTATCAAAAAAATCCCTAGCCCCTATTTAAAATAACTAAAGAAAAAAGCCCACAGAATCTCTCTCCTTCAAATATAGAACTGATACAATTTTGTCTTCATTTGTACTTTCTTCCATACTCCACCATGGCACTTTGAATAATAACCAAATCAAACAGATGCAATTTCCTTGGTGTAGTTCTCTAAACCTCCACTGCATTTCTCTTTCAAGTGAGACAAAAGAAAGCCAACCATCACTGTGGCTTTAAACACACAGGTTTCCATTTTTTCTGTGCACATTCTCCCATTAAGCTCAACAAGGGAAGAAGCTAAAAAAAATGTCAGTCTTGCTTTTCTACATTAAATCTTAAGGCACTGCAGAATCTAAAAGCTGTTTGTGAATTAAATAAAATAATGCAAGGCTGTCTCCTTTCAGTTATTTTTACAGCAACATAAAAACTATGCTAAATATGCGTTTAGGAGAGTTAACAGAAAATCTGGGAATAATTCTTTGCATTTTCTTTTCTTTTTTTTTTTTTTTGAGACAGAGTCTCGCTTTGTTGCCCGGGCTAGAGTGAGTGCCGTGGCATCAGCCTAGCTCACAGCAACCTCAAACTCCTGGGCTCAAGCAATCCTTCTGCCTCAGCCTCCCGAGTAGCTGGGACTACAGGCATGTGCCACCATGCCCGGCTAATTTTTTCTATATATTTTTAGCTATCCAATTAATTTCTTTCTATTTTTTTGGTAGAGATGGGGTCTCGCTCTTGCTCAGGCTGGTCTCGAACTCCTGAGCTCAAACAATCCACCCGCCTCGGCCTCCCAGAGTGCTAGGATTACAGGTGTGAGCCACCGCACCCGGCCAATTCTTTGCATTTTCTAATTCAATTTCATTTTTCTAGTAACAAGTTTTATGGAAATATTCTTCTGAATTGGAAGGCTTGGCAGCAATACCATTATTTTTGATCAGGTCTCTGTAGGAAGGAACAAGAGTTGTGTTCAGCCTTGACACATGCATATGGCCACTTGCCATTCGACTAAACATTTTCTAGTAAACCTACCATAGACTACCACAAAGGCCACCTCCAATGTTTGATTCTCTAGCTGGGAAAAATGCCTTACTTACACAGTGACACTTTTACGTCTCGTTTGTCATTGGAGACACGGTAAGCTCCGTAGCCAGCCAAAAACCCAACAAAAAGACCAGCAATCAAAGATGGAACACCACCTGGAACGGAAAAAAAAGCATGGGCTCACGAAGAGAATCTCAAAATGAAAGGAATTCATTCCATTACTTCAAGTACGACTCAGGCGCCTTTAAGCGTATTCCTACTTGGGCATTGTAACTGGACAAAGCCAAATTAAGTATGGGCTTCCTCACTGATAGTTTCTAAGAAATGGCTGTTTCACGCTGACCCTAAGCGCAAGGCAGAAGAACCCTGAATGCGTAGCAATGGAGGGGTTAGTTATCCCTTGGGGGAGTAAGAAAACCTGCTGTGTAGTAGTGGTTTAGACGCTGACTGCATTAGCTGACTTCTTTACGCCCTTCTCCTCCCACCCCCTATTCTCCTTGCCTCCTTTCCGCGGTGAGGTTGTGATGATGGAAAATAAGACGCAACGGTATTTTTAGCTCATATAGGTAAAGAGAGAAGTGCTGTGCAAACCAAGCAATGGTTCTGTCCTGAATAATTAACAAAACTTCAAGCCTCAAGATGTCAGGACTCAAGGACTAATGAAGACTATATGGAGAAAGGGGAAGGACCAGGGAACTGATCCACCCACCCCACCAGTGCACTCCCAGCCCCCAACCCATCCACCTGCCCCAGGGCACTATGACAAACACCAAGAACTTCAGGTGCCCTGGACAGTAGGCTACATGCTGGTGACACTGTAAGCAAGACACACACAATCCTTGCTTCACCCTATTTAGAATCTATCGGATTAGAATCCCTGGGGACAGGGTAAAGGTTGTCTCTATTTTTTAAATATCCACAGGAGATTCAGATGCGCAGCCAGGGTTAAGAACCACTGCAGCGCATGCACAAGCGCGCACTTGCGCACGCACTCGCACACGCGCGCGCACACACACACACACACACACAGAGCACCATCCTGAACAAGAAGCCAAATACACTAGATTCTAGTCCTAATTCTTTCACTTGTTGACCGAAGGACTTTGGCTAAATCACTTACCCTCTCTGAGTTTTATCAGTTACAAAACAAACAGGGTTAAGATCACCCATGTCATATACATAAAGGCTTAGGGCCAGTCATGGAGGCTCACACCTGTAATCTCAGAACTTTGGGAGACCAGGCAGGAGGATCACTTGAGGCCAGGAGCTCAAGACCAGCCTGCGCAACACAGCAAGAGCCCATTTCTAAAAAAAAAAAAAAATTAGCTGGGCATGGTGGTACATTCCTGTAGTCTCAGCTAGCTGGGAGACTGAGGTGGAAGGATTGCTTGAGCCCAGGAATTTGAGGCTGCAGTGAATTATGACTGCACCACTGCACTCCAGCCTGGGCAACAGAGCAAGACTCTGCCTCCAAAAAACAAAGAATGTTACAGTTGGAAATAATATTAAATTCCTTATTGTCTTCCTCCAAATCTATTCTTCAAACACAGCAAGATGATCTTTTAAAAACATATATCTGGACAGGTCAATCTCCTAATTAAAAACCTTTGGTGCTTCCCAACGCACTTAGGAAAAAAAAAAAAACCAGTTTGCTGTGTTGTGCAAGTCCTGGCCTTCATTCACTTCCCTGGATATGCCAAACTCTATTCCTCACAGCTTTCAGACATGCTGCTCCTAGCGTGGACTGCTCTTCTCTGCACTGTTCACCTGGCCTAGCGCAGCTCCCCTTCAGATGTGTGCAGAAGCGTTTAGTTCTCAGAGATGCCTTCCCTGACCTACAACTCTGAACGAGGGCCCACATCGTAGTCTTCCATCATTCATGATCATATGCTGGTGACACTGTGGTCATATGCTGTTCACGGATTTAAGGTCAGTCTCCCCCACCCACTTGTGGGCTCTATGTTTTTTTGCTCATTGCTGTTTTCCCAGGGTAAGACAAAGAACCAGGTACATAAGGAACACCTGTTAAATACTGATTTAAGGCGTTCCTGGGTGATCCCCTGTTATGGATCATGTTCAAGCCAAAGATGTCAGGTAAGGATATAGTTAAGGAGATTAAAGCATTTTCTGAAATGTACGACTAGGTCACCATTAAGGTGTCTCTCACCTAGAGATTCTGTGATCCTCCTTTCTGTATACCATGAAGATTTGTGTACTGCTATACCTCCCCTCCTGCCCCCTGCATCCCCACCACCCCCATACAAACACACTTAAGTATGCGAAAGGCGTGGCAGTGTCTGCACTTGAGTCTCCATGAGATCAGACAGCAAGCAGCAGGGACCGGAGCATGCTCACCAGCAGCCCATGTGTAAGAGAACCAGGAAGGTTCCTGGGAGAATTCATCCTGCTTGAGGAAGGAGGTAGGACTGTGGACTCTGCCTTACAAGAAAGCCACGGCTAGTGGAAGGGAGCCAAGATCCTGAGAAAAAGAAGTGCCCATAGCGGGGGCTACAAGAAAAGAAGCTCCAAGCTCTTCCCCTCCCCTTTCCTAGGATGGCCGATCTGGGTGGGGCCTCTTGGTAGGGGAGTTTTCAAAGAAGTTGAAAGGTACACATGGGAGCCTCCCTTCGGGTGCTCTTGTGGTCCTCAGAACAGGAACCTGCCTGGCATGTGCTCCCGCTCCTCTCTGGAGGGGCTGCTGTGCTTTTCCCAACTGGAGTAGGAAGGTGTGAGGTCAGGTTCAGCCCTGGTGTAGGAGAAGTCAGAGCAAGCCTTCTGACCATCTTTGTCTTTGGACACCTGGTGCTACTTGGCCTAGGAAAAGCCTCCAAATCATAGTGTCATCCTGGTTATCCACTTCCCTGGAGACCTACCTAGGAGGAGGGGTGAACTCAAGCTCAGCACCCTGTGTCCTGCAACTGCACTGCCTCTCTCCTCCACCAAAGAAAAAAAATCTCACTTTGACCCAACTTGTATCAGTCAGCTAGTCTAGTTTACGATTTGGATATATTTGTGTCCTCCCAACCAAACACAATTTTTGGGTTTTTTTAGAGACAAGGTCTCACTTTGTGTCACCCAGGCTGGAGTGCAGTGGCACAACCATAGCTCACTGTAGCCTTGAACTCCTGGGCTCAAGTGATCCTCCCACCTCAGCCTCCCAAGTAGCTGGAACTTGCCACCACGCCCACCTTTTTTTTTTTTTGTAGACATGAGATCTCACTATGTTGCCCAGGCTAGTGTCAAACTTCTGGTCCCAAGTGGTCCTCCTACCTCAGCCTCCCAAAGTGCTGGGTTTATGGGCATGAGCCACCATGCCCAGCCCAAACACTATTTTGACAGCACATTTTTCACCTACTCAAAATTATTCTCAGTAACTGTCCCTTAAAAGGGTCTCCTGACCTAGCTGCATGGGACTTACGCCTAGGCAAACTCTAAGTAAAAAGAGAAAGAGCTGACTCACTTCCACACAAATGATCTAAGACATTTGGGCTATAAGCAGCTATATGTATAGCTGTATACATATAGTATACAGTATAATATGAAACCAGAGTGTAAAACTAGAAAGAGGTATTTTGCCTCACTGGCCCACACACCTCCCCACTGACCAGGCAGCAGTGGCAGAAACAACCAGAATATTAAACCTTTATTCTATGCGAGGCACTATGTAAAATGTATTATATGCATTGTTTTATTTAATCCTAACAAATTAATTTACAGGTGAGGGTTGAGGCCCAGAAGTTAACACAACTATCAGAGCCAGGAAGTGGTAGTGTCAGGACTAGAATTCAGGAATGCTCAATTCTGTAGCCTATGCTTTTAACCACATTATACTACACGAGTAAGCTTCCCTGTGAACACACAATACTCTCGGGGGCTTCCAGGCTCACTCAGTGTGGGGGGCTCCTGCCAGAGGCCAAGAAACCATCTTGTGCCACTGAGCAACAAGCCCCTGCAATCAGAGACCTTACAGCTAATGTAACTTCATTTGTCCCCACCAGCTGGTAAAACCTGCAGAGATTTGGGTTAGAATAATGACATGATTCCTCCCACCCCAACACACAAACACACTCACTCTCTTCTTTCCGCCCCTCAAAAAGGCAGGCAAAAACGTCCAGATGTTCTTTCCTATTCTGTAATAGAAGTTATTTAGACGTGTCTTTGACAATGAGAAAAAATGGTTTCAATAACAATCCTCAGAATTTTAAACTGAGTCCTTTTTAAAATAGATTATGAATACTCTGGTTTCTCTTCAGATCGTATAAATCTTTCGCCTTTCACTACAGGTGATTATGAAACACCAACTTCTGAGTAGTTGTTTAACAGATCTCCTTTTGGTGCCATCATTTTTTTTCCCTTCACACGTATCCATGATGATACACACATTAAGAGAGAAAAAACAAAAAATCTAAAGTGAATTACAGATTTTAAGGAATCTTAGAAGATAATCTATTCTAACCTGTCAGCCCCTCAGCTACTAGAGAGAACTGTGCTTCTGGCCTTTGACTTCTTAGCAATCGCTAAAGAAGAAAGCTAACTGGTAACTGTGTAGACCTGGCTTTTTCACTCCAATTCAAACACAACACGCTTCGAAATAAATTTTCATTTAAAAAATTAAAATAAAAACCAAAAATATGAAACACCATGACTATATTTAATTCTACCTTAAAACAGAGCAAAATATAAAAATTTAAGCTTTCCTTTTTCTCCATGAAAACCCTTTAATTGCTCAATTGAGTTTTTTCTCCTCTTTTGGATGGAGATGAAGAGGCAACTTTGGATATGATATCTAAGTATCTAACAAATTTTCTTTTGCAATACACAGTATCAATATAACTGAGTTTTTTGGTACCATGATTATGTAAACAAAAAAATCCTCATTTAGTAATAAGCAGAGACCCTGAGGGAGGTTAAGTCAATTATACAACTGATAATGACAGGTGAAGTCAGAGTTTTATGGGAGGCAGAGGCCAGAAGCTCAGGTTGCAACACTCTGCCATGACCAGTCCCATGTTATCCTCCTACCCCTCGTGAGTCCCTTTCACAACACGCTGGAAGCCAGCCACCTCAGAGGTATCTGCAGCTTCTTGTCCCACTTACAGACCCTCAGATGACCCTAGCACACACAACCACCAACACCCCCCTAAGTCCCTTCAATGAAATTTGGTTTAGGCTTACCTCTCCGCTTATATCCCAAAATGCTTCCAAATGTCACAAGGGCTGCATAACCAAAACCGACCAGGTCCATTGGCAAGGTTGCAGCTCTAAAGCAAGGAGGAAGGGACAAATTATACAAAATAAAGAGTTTGGGGGAGCAAATGTATATAAAAATTACATGTGTCCCATAGAATTACAGAAGTTTCTCCAGTCTACTAAAGAAAAAAGGGAGGTTTGATTGTGACCTACCTCCCCCAACACTCAACCACTGTCCCCTTCCTCATCACTCCCAAGCACACTCAGGGGGCGCCTCAAGATGATTCTCCTCTGCCTGTCTTCAAGACCTGCCATACTCTCAGCTGTTTAATTCCTTTTACTTCCCCCAGCAAAACTTCTGCTCTGGTCAGCCAGGTTTCCTCACTGGACTGCAACACTCCAATCCTCACTCTTCACTTCCAGGGATGGAATGTCCCCCTACCTCTGGCACCTCTGCCTACAAAAGCCTGACCATCCTCTGCACGGCTCTCTGAAGCTTCTCCCCTGACTTCTGCCCTCACCACCTCCCTCCAATCTCCTTAACTCTGGCCTGCATCATCAAACCGGTCTGGAGCAAATGGCTTCTTCCTCCTCGAAATTCCTTGACTTCTGTAATTCCATCTTATAATTTTTTCATATTGGTACAGGGAGTTGTCCTGTGACCCTCCCCACATCGAAGAACAGAAAAGGGGTAATATGGATGTCTGGTGACCGAACCAATGATTCACTTTAAACAATTGCTTTGTCACCAGCTCTGTTGAGACAGATCTTCTGTGGTAGCAGAGGCATCCACACTTAATCGATGGCAAACCACTAAAGAGCATAATGAAGCCCTGGCACCAAGTTAGTTGGATGACATTGACATCCTATTATGCACAGAAGCAGCTAAAACATATATCCAGCGGTGAGAAGTTCCACTGAAATCCTACCCACAGTTCTCTAAGATGTAGTAGACAGTGTGCTGGCTGCAGGCTGGGGACATGGGCACTGGTCACTAGCTTGTTACTGGTCCTCGGACTGTACCCCCCTCCCCCCAGAATCCCCCAAAGTGAGGGAAATAGATGAGATGAGCTCTGAAGTTCCTTGCAGTTTTTTGAAGTCTAAGATTTCTAGTGGTGGTTTTATATCTTAACTTTCTTACATCTATATTTCCTCTATGGGAAAATAATGATCTTTGTAAATAGGAGGGATGGTATATGAAATTTCTTGTGTATTTTTACAATTTTCTCACTGTTTGTCATTTAGGTTAACTGGTCTTTTAGTCCGTGTAGCAACTAGCAACAAATTAATTCAGAAGAGCAGAAAAGGGGTTTTGAGCTTATCTCAGAGAATCAACTGGAACTTCCTGCGAGGAAGGGTCTTGGGGGAGGGAATCTCAGGCACAGGAGGAGAAGACGACACCAAAAAGGAGGCAACACTGAAAAACCCTCAACATCCACAGGAAGAAGAACTAAAACAGGAGAGCTCGTCTGTGCCCGAGCAGTGGGACAGTAGGGCGTAACATGTAGGAAAGGCCTGGGCTCAAAAGCCATTTGTTGACTGAATGATGGATAAACAAATAATTACAACGAAGATGATTAAGCCAGTACCAGGTGCTAGGTACCATTCTAAGGCCTTACAGGCATCAACTCATTTAATTATTACCACAAACCTACGAGGTCTGTACTACCATCCTTAGCCCCATTTTCCAGATGAGGAAACTGAGGTACAGAGAAGGGAAGCAATGCCTCAACCTCAAACCAGATACCACTCCTTACTAGCTGCTGTAAAATTAGGCACACTCCTTAACCTCTTTGTAACTCAGTTTCTACATCTTTAAAATAAAGGGATAATAAAAGTATCTACTGAATAGGATTGGGAGAACTAAATGAGTTAATACTATCAAAACACTTAGCACATAGGCCGGGCGCGGTGGCTCACGCCTGTAATCCTAGCTCTCTGGGAGGCCGAGGCAGGCGGATTGTTTGAGCTCAGGAGTTTGAAACCAGCCTGAGCAAGAGCGAGACCCCGTCTCTACTAAAATTAGAAGGAAATTAATCGGACAACTAAAAATATATAGAAAAAATTAGCCGGGCATGGTGGCGCATGCCTGTAGTCCCAGCTACTCGGGAGGCTGAGGCAGGAGGATCGCTTGAGCCCAGGAGTGTGAGGTTGCTGTGAGCTAGGATGACGCCACGGCACTCACTCTAGCCCGGGCTAGAAAAAAAAAAAAAAAAAAACACTTAGCACATATTGAGCACTACATATCAGCTGCTCTAATATTAATGATTATTCTTCTCATTCACCCTATACTTCTTTTTAAGCTTGATGTGTATAAAGCCATTACTAAAGCACACTGAGAAAACTGAGGTAGTCGGGATTTATGACTCAGGCAGTCAATGAATCACACCATATTATTACAACTTATACTTATATTCAACTTCAGTTAACAAGTATTTATTGAGCACCTTCTTTGTTCAAGGAAGTAGTAAGTGATGGAAAGCCCTAAGATATGGCCTTGGTCCTCCAGGACTTACAGTACAGCACAGCAGGAGACAGATGAGTGAATGAGCCCTAAGAGGAGAGGCTCCGGCACCATAACAGGGAGTGGCACCTGACACGGCGTGGGAGCCTAAGGAGGGCCGTTCGGAGGAAGCAGGGCAGGAGTAAGCCAAGTGAAGAGGGTGGCAAGGAAGGGTGTTCCTGGTAGAAGGGAGAACATGTGCAAGGCCCCAGTGGCATGAGAAAGCATGGCATGATCTCCACATGAAAAATGCAAGCAGTTGTGAAAAGAGAAGGAGCAGGTGAGAAAGACAGCCTGTACACCCAGATAAGCCTGGTAAAGGGAGTCTGGCTTCTGTCCTAAGCGGTGAGGGATCGATGAAGTAAGCCTCACAATCAGATTTACACTCCTGCAAGCGCTTCCTGGCTGCAGGCTGTTGCAGAAACTAAGCAAGAGCTTAGCTGATGAAGGTAGGCTGGCCTAGAGAAATGGCAATGAGGGTAGAGAGAAGGTGGTTGGATTTGAGAGGTTCAGGAGGTGGAATCTACAGGCCTGGACATGGAGAGGGAGCGGTGGGGATGAGTCACAGATGACTCACCCCTAGGTCCGTGGCTTGGACCCTTAGGAGAGGTGTGGGGTAGGGGAGCCTGCTGCTATACCCTGAGACGGGGAACACTGGAACGGCAGCAGGTGTGCGGTGGGGGGAAGTGGGAGGTGGCCAGGAATGATGCGACCCACTTGGAACGGATTCAGTCTGAGATGCCTGACGCAGTTAGGAAAACACCCCTACATAAAAATTAAGTAGTGATTTGGAGACCTATTTTCTCCTAATGCCAAGCAGCTGGTGTGAAAGGCTGACTCCCCTCTCCATCCTGAGGCCCCCAGCTCTTCCTGTGATCCTCTCTTAGGGACCCATCCCCTTTCACTTGCTGTAGAGTTTCTTAAGATTCTCTCTCGGCCAGTCATGCTCCTTGAGGGCAAACCCAGGTTCAATTGTCTTTGTCATCCTTATGACACCAAGAAACCTGCCCTGCACAAGGCAGGTGCTTAGAAAATACTTGAAAAAATGAGTTGGTGAATGGGTCAACCAACAGCTTCTGCCTGCAGAGATTCTGTAACTGACCTACCCAATACAGCTCTACTGCCAGGAAACAGACAGCCCCCTAATCTCCTTAGTGAACTGAGTGTTGTTCTAAGGAGGCCAAACAAATCTATTCCCAATACTTGCAAGAAGTTTCTATTCTCACAGAGAAAAGCCAAACAAAAGGCAATCAACCGTCTTGCTCCTTTTCCAGGGCAGGGCCACTTAGCCAGGCCAGAAGCACATATTAAAGCCAGAGGCCGCGTTAACAAGTGAGGGATGGTGTGGGAGACTACGGGCACAGAACATCAACGCCCCCGTCGCGAACACGATGTTCACGGCTTGCAATGACCAGAAAGCAAACCACGTGACAGGCCCCTGCCTCCACGTCAGCCCCAAGACCTCCAAAATTCGGGGAACTCACTGAAGGATATTCCGTAAACTATTATATAAAACCGTATTTTCACATGCTAAAACAATAACCTACCCTCGAGCTCTGCGGGGGCACGAAAGACACCTTTTCTTGTGAAGTCTGGGTGGTGCTGGGAAGGGAGAAATCTTGGCAGGCATTTTTACAACGGTCCGTGAACCGCCTCCCCCTTATCACCACGCCAGCTCCCGGAAGGTAGGAGACAGGGCAGGTGGGAGGTTTAGGGCCATGAGAAGGCAGAAATTCCCAGGAGGAGAAATATGAACGCTGGGAGAGCAGACCCCATGCCCCTGCAAAATCCCCTCGAGGTCCTCCCCATCATTGATTGCTGCAGGGATTTCGGGGTGGGAGGGGCCATTTAGCAAAGTCCCTTTTATTTCTGTGCCTTTGCAAGAAACTTCAAGGCAGGAAGGTCTCGACTGCGGCATGCACAGCTCACCTGCAGCCCCCGAGCCCTCACCGCAGATGAAAAGAAAGACGGCAACGTCTAGCCACCGGCAAGCGAGGTACCCGGAGTCCGGAAGCGGTCTCCGCGCCAGCGCCGTCCTACTCCGCGCCCAGCCTTCTAGAGCCGAGCCCGGGCACTGGCCGCGCCTTCCCGGCTGCGCGCATGCGCTACGTGCCTCCCCCGCCTCTGCTCGGCCCTGCCCCGCCCGCGCCCCCAGTCGGCCACACCCCAGCAGCAGCCGCGCCCCGCCACTTGCTCTGTCCGTCCGGACTTAGGCCCAGTCCTGGAGCCGGGGCTGGGGTCTACTGCCTCCTGCCGGATGGAGCGGGACTGGCAGGCACTCGCAGGGAGCGTGTCTTGGTGTAGCAAGGATCACAGAAGGCGAAAAAGATTAACAGCAAAGCACATTCATTATTTGACGGACACTTGTGGGACCTCTACGGCAACCCAGGCCTTTTACGTACTCTTCAGCAGACTGTCCCCATTTCCAGTGGAGGGAGTTAAGGGTCAGAGAGGTGAGCTGATTTACTTGTCCAAGGTGAGACTCCAAGTTTGTCTCGTTTCAAAGCCCAAGCACTTTTCATTACACTATCTGTGGGGTCATCTAGATGGGGTTGGGAGATCAAGATGTTGGTTTTATACTTCAGGCCCAGGATTTGCTAAGCTTAGATATCTAAGGGGAAAGGTACAGAATTCCAGAGTTGGAAATCAGTTCGAATTGTGTCTAGTCCAGGACAATCTGAACCTTAAATTGATTTGAAATTATGCCTCCCCAACAACTTCTCATCTCACTCTTCTGCCTTCTAGGCTGAATACAGTAACTCCAGCCCTTTTCCTTATATAATAGCCCTTCAGAGATACGAAAAAGGCTGTCATCTCAGTGTCAAGCAGCTCTAGAAATTTTGTGGTGCTGAGAATAGCAAAATTCCTCAGAATTTTTTTTTTTTTAAAACACCCCAAGAATTAAATCTTGTGAAGTTTGTTTGGCTAAATCTATTCCCTGTGCATAAAAGTGCTTCAGAGAAGTAACATAACTGTACCTAACTCATGAGAAGTCTAAGTTGGTCCTAGGGAGTTATTAAGATTTCTGAAGATTCACAGGAGAGCTGATGGCAAGGCACTGGGATGTGAGCAGGAGTGGTATCCTGAAGTTTGGTTCTGAGTTCTCGCAGCTCTCCTTTCCACCCACTTCTATGCCCATCCTTACCCCAGCCTCCTCCCCCTCTCTCAGACTCCCAGAACACTTCCCCTATTTGGAATAAAACTAAAACCCTCTTGGAATACCTCAGTATCTTCAACTGATGTGACCTGGCCAAATAACTTCTCCCTGGACTTCAGTGCCTGGATTTAAGATGTGGCTCAGACTAGATGCTGAGATCCCTTCCACCTTGCCAATAAGTGTATGAAGCTGGAAACGACCTTATGATATTCCTCCTTGAGGCATTCTTCCTAAACCTAAAAGAAGAGCTCTTTGTATATTATGGGAATTCCACACCCTCGGACTCGTGGGAACAGAGTGGTTTTTACTTAGGCAAAGGGACACTGCCGTCCCAACTCATAAGCCACCAGCTGCTGCTCCTCTAGCTAATGGAAAGGCTGCCGCACAGGTGAGGGTGCAGCAAAGCCTATTTACCTCTACCTATTGGTAAAGCTTTCTATTCATGACCCACAGCAGAGATTCAGCTTCCAATGGACACTGACCCCTTTGGCAGTCTGGAGAAATGCATAAAATAAAATATATAGGATTGCAAAAGTAGCCAGTGTTATTGAAATACAGTTATCGAATTATTAAACATGTAAATCTGTGATTAAAATAGATGTGCTTCTTTATTAACATATTAAAGATGAGAAGATCTTGAGGTAGGTCTAATTATTACCATAATTTCAAAGTCGTGCTACACATAAGCAGTATTTCAAGGTATCTGTGACATGTATCTGTGATTCCTAGTGATGACAGAGACACAGGTACTAATACTCATACTGCAGTGGGGTTTTGCCTATTTTCCTAATGGAAAGAAATGCTAAATTTCAGTTAGAGGTCAGTGAAAATAAAAATTTCTTTTTCCCAATCAATTTCTCAGATCTTCTGATTTCTATCCTCAGGCCCTTTGGATCTGTAGATCCCAAATTTAAGAACTCCCAATCTCTAGTAATGCAAATTTTTGCAGGTTGCATATAGGGGGAATCAGAGAAAGGGAGGCAAGGTCAAGAGCCTGACTGACAAACTGGCCGCCCAGGCAGGGCCTCATTGCTTGTACCTCGGCGAGTGCTCTGCGGATCCCCAGCCTGGTTCTCATGTTCAAATGTTCAGAAACTCAGTTTGTCTCATTTCTTCCCAGTGCACCCTGGCTTTTGGGAGATTGATTCATACAAACCAAAGTCACAGGGGGACTTACTGATTTTTTTTTCAACCACACTTCAGATTCTTGATTTTTCTCTCCTTTCAGATCCCTGTGGCTATTCATCATTTAGGCCTCTGCTCGTCAGTGAAAAAACTTTTGAACAAGTATACCAATATATGTATTATCATTTATTTAGAAATGTCCTGTTTAACTTGGCTGCCCTTTTCTGGTGACATTTTTTTTTTAGTTCCAAAGCAGTCTTATTTCCAAAAAATAAGTCACTTTTCCATCAGATGAGTTTCTGTCTCAACCTATACATAACATTGAACAACTCAGGTGCAGTTAGTCTGTCCCTTTCTAGGCTCCTGCTGGCCTCATCAAAGATCATGGAGAAAGAGCGTACACATGTTTACTTTGCTGTAATTCTTTTCTCCATTCTTATCCTCATTATAGTTCTAAATCAAAGGACATTATTCTTCTTCTTCCACACTTTGAAAATATGATTTTATGGCAAGCCAACATTTTAGCATCTTTTCTATGGCTGGCAGCAGTGATGGCCATCTTGTAGGCACATGTCTGAAGAGGTTATCACCTTCCACTTCTATGAAGACAAAAATCTCACCAAGTGCTTCTATACATTTTGAGGACACTGAAAAGTAACCAGAAACTTTCATTATGTTAAGTCTCAATTTACATTTAAATAAAATAAGTCATATCCCTTTTTAGCAGTGTTGTATATAAGATGTGCAAGACAGTGAACAGGCAAGATCTTTTCCTTTTCTTTTTGGTAAGAAGTTTATAGACTGAATGGAGTTTACTAAAAATTGCACCTGCACTGTTTGATGAATATGCAGACAGATGAGCCAAGTCTAGTTTGTATTTATATAAAATATCAACAATATTTTATGATTTCAGCAGTTTCATTAAAATACTCATAGAAATCAAGAAGACTATTCAAAACCTAACAGCTAGAGGAAACATTTTATGTTGCCATGATCCAATGCATCGCTTGAAGGTGATATACTGTAGAAAGTATGATTGTCGGTGAGATATGACAGAATCAGCTCTACACTATAAGAGGCCAATGCAATTATTATCAAAATTTCCCCTTTTGTTTGCCCACAGAATATTTCAGTTGCAACTCCTAAATCAGGAAATGTAACTTTATGCGATTTCACGGTGCAATCAAGGGAACGATACGACAATCCATGTTCATTTATGTGGTATGACCAAGCTAATTCAGAGGCTGCTATTCTTGACTGAACATTGGTGTCTTTTTGGGAAATGAAAATACTTTTGATTGGTTTAGAAGCATTCACCTGTCTCATCCTAGACTTGTGAGATTTGGTCTCCGTGTGTGCTCTCACATCCCCTGCTCCACTGTGCCCGATCCCAAATTCTTTTGTGTATACTGTGCAGTATGCTGTTTTGGTTATTTATCCCCCTAATTCAGTTGTATGTGTTCTTCCATCTGACATTAAAATAACAGTCCTTTAGGCTTCTTTTTCGGTGATGGGGGTCATGGTTATGTTGTATTATAATCTTTCTCATTTTCATTATCTGATCTCTCAGTAAACATGGTCACAATATTCACAAAAAATAAAAATTGAACTAGCACTATCTTGATACAAAGCACAACAGTTAATCTACAGACAAAGTCACAGATGAACTGTTAATATTCATGATATACACTTAAGTCACATCACTCTGAGTGATGCAATAATGGAAGAATGACCATATGGTGAACTTCAAATTGCAGTTGCCAACATTGGTGTTCACAGCAAAAATGGTCAATAGCTACAGTATGTGGATAATCTATGCCATATCCATTTGACATTGAATACAGTGTGGCTTTCAGCCCCTCCAAAACTGTATGAGTTTTGTACTTTTCCTCCAACCTTCCACACTTGTTGCCAAAAACCAGGCCCTTTCACATTCCAGGGAAGGGTTTTCCAGGACACAATACTCTTGACACCAAAATTGGGATGGCGGGTTACCCTACTAGGTCCCCATTAACCCAAGGGCGAGCTCTCCAGAGGCGGGAGGGGAGGCACATGGAACTGGACACTCCTTACCTTGCTTCTACTGATGGTGCTGAACTTCTCCAGAACATTTCTCACAGGTTGCTCTTCTTTAAAAGTGATGAAAACAGAACCTTGTCTTTTGTTAAGACTTTAAATCCACTGAAAGCTCCATGTTCTCAATCTGAAAACACAAGCAAAGTTCAGGGGCCAGTGCCTTCTCCTGGCTCAGGTCCTAAGGGGAACTCATAGGAAAGAAGGTCCCCCAAAGTCCAGAAAGGAAAAGAACAAACCCCACTGAGAACTCCAATCAGCCAAGGAAGGAAGGGAAAAAGCAGCCATTGGTGCTGGTAGGGAGCATGAACTACACCCTGGGGGGATATTCACCTTCTCAAACTCGCCAGAGCACTCCCTTGTCTTCTCCTCAGTGGTTTTGGGGTTCAGACCCCCACAAAGATGTTTTTAACAGGATCATTCTTCATGGGTGTGGCCTTTTTGGGGTCCATGCTATGGCTACTCAGCCTGTGCTCCTTCTGGTCTAGGATCTGTTCCAACAGAAGGGTATGTTGATCAACCGTCCAGATTTGCCAAGGACTGAGGTGTTTGGGGACTTTCAGGGATAAAACCAGAAGTGAGGAGTTTCCGAGGAAGCAGGGCTTTCAGCACTAAAACCACAACTAAAAGATTCCCAGGACGAGGGACTTCTAGCACTACAACTGGCTTCCCCGCATGTAGGACTTTCAGCGCTAAAACTTGGACAGTTCCTTCGGAGAATGGGGGTAGGTAGATT